AGCAGCAGCTCCGGCTGGCGATGTTATCCCTTTGGCTCCCTGCAACAACTGCCAGCTCAGCTCTGAGGGTCTGGGTTTATATTGAGGCTGCTCAGCCCCATCCTCCAATCCAGAAGCCCTCCCGTGGTCATCTGATTGCCTTGTTTGGCTGCATTGAGGCTGCCAGTTACTCCACAGCCTGCTGCAGCCTCTTAAAGTGGCAGGCTCCAACGGTGCCCGGCCACAATAAACAAGGTGCACATTATGTTCTGGGGAGTGGTGTATGTGAGAAAATACAGCATTTAAAAAAAATCCTTGCTATCAATTTTCAGGTAATTTAATGTGCCTTTGCTTTCAAGCATTCTGGGCTGGACATTATCTGGTTCCCCCCCAGCTGAAACACATTATGGTCTTTGAGTTTTCCTTCCATCCTGGATGTAGCAATCTCCAGTTCTACACATTCATTCTTATTAACCAGTTTGTCTCTGCTCCCATGTTGAACATCATGTCCTTGGAGTAAAATTTACTTTTTGTCTCTACCTAGATTAGCTTTAATTTCTACCCACTCCTCACTACATAGTAGCTTTGCTTTCCTCCCTTTCCTTTTTTATTTCCACAGCTAGATTAACTTTTACTACTAGTTTTAATTTCCTTCGCATAAATCCAACTCAACTTCATTTTTGGCATTTCTCATTTCATCACGATGCGTTCTGATCTCCAAGTCACATTTTTTTTTCTGTGATCAATCTCTTTTTCCATTATTTGTAGACTCTCTGATTACTTTAAATATTCTTTTGTAGCTGTTTTTCAGCCAGTTAGATCTGGAATCCTTCTCTTTTTTTTCTTGCTAAAGATGCAAATTCCAGATAGCTTTTACATCTTTGATTTTAAAAGATGACAAGTCTCCTCCATATTTAAGTCCTTGAGCTCTTCAGTCCAGCTGATTTCACTAACTGGTTCCCTTAATTTCTTAAAGTTTGACTTTAAAAAAACCCCCCTTAATTACACATCTGTCTTTGTTTATCTTTTAACTTAATTTAAACAGAATCAGTTTATGATCACTTGATTTTCTTTAACTAGTTCTTCTATAATGTTCTTATAATTTTCCAAAATCACATGCCTTTTGTAAGTTCAGTAGCTATTTGCTGAAAAAATCTGTTGGCTAGCACACCCAGGAATATCTGGGTCTGACCATTACTGGTAGTGTTTATTCTCCAATGTATGTCTGGATTAAATTCTTTAATAAAAACACAATTTATTTAAGAATCTCTCTAGCAGATTTGAAAAGGTTTTGACTGATTACTGACTAACATGAGAAGTAGGGAAATTTCACAGAACCCAGTATCTGGCAGAAGAGAAAGAAAGTGAGAAGAAAATCATGAACTTAATTACATGCACTCAGCTTCGATGGAATCTGTATATGACAGACTATACTATCTGTCACAGAAGGACAGGCATTTTAAAAATACAAAATAAGACTATATCTGTGGAATGATAAGGCCTTTTACAAAATTCACCTGTTGAAAAAAACAAAGCACTCTAGCAAGGCTACCATGGCCAAATTACCACTAAAAAATAACTTCTTATTCTAGAGCTTCATTTTGCACTGGGCAGCATTGTGTAAACAAAACTTTTCTTTTAGTTTACTAAATCTTAATACTAGCCTTGACCACAATAAAAAGAAGTGTATTTCTTTCTAAACACTTACAGTAGTTTGCCATATAGCAGAAAGTAACATTATTCAAAAATTTGCTCTGCAGAATATTTCAAGTATTAGGCCTAAATTTTCAGCATATCAAAATACCCCTCTTGCCCCACAACATTCGAAGCTTGGATTTTCAGAGATGACTCATTACTGGCATTTCCAGTTGAAGTTTAATGGTAGTGATAAGTTTTCAGCACCTTGCAAATCCAGGATGTTATGTATTTATGCCAGATACCCCAAAAGTGGGGCATCAAAAAGTAAAGACCCTTTTTGTAAATCTGGATCTGATTTCCATTTAATACAGGGTAGCCAGTTTCTTTCTTTTTTTCTTTCTCTCTTTTTTTTTTTTTTTTGCTATTATTTCAGGTACTGAAAACACACTGCAAGGGAATTAAACTGATCAAGTGCCCCAAAAGGCATCCCAGTAACTGAAATATATAATTCCTTACCTGAGTCCTTCATGGGACACAGGGCACACTGCATGCCCCAGGCCTCACCATATAAGCAGCAGCACTCAGTGTATGTAGTCTGCTTTCCCACCAGAGGTTGACTACAAACAAAATCATCACTCAGATATTGCCAGCAAAGGTCCTGGAAGACTTCAGTTTCTTCAGTTTGTTCTGAAGGAGAAAACAATATTGCATGACTACTACAGTGCTCTTATTGTTTTAAAACAACTGGTAAAATACAGTGCTATCTGAACCAAGGTTAAAAGAACAGTTTAACTCTACCTCACATGAAACTAAAACTGGATGAACTTGGGTTTCCATCCTGACAAACTTTAAAGGATTCTGATTTATAGAAAGGACTAAGCACCCAGCCTCTGAAAAACAGTATCTGAAGTTGGCCCCTCCACTGACTCCCTAAGTGATTAGGAAATTTTAAGACTGTTGGCCACAGTGTGGGATTTTCCAGAGCACTTAGGTTTAACTTAACTTTTTTTCCCACTGAAGTCAACAGAATCCAACTGACTTCTGTGGAAACAGAGCTATAATCACAGTAAATGCTTGAGAAATCCCACTCAAGAAGTGAAACTTAAAAGATATGATGTTTTCCTTATAAATTGTATCAGAAGGGCTATTTAAAGATGAAGTAACTGCTAGTACTGAACCAGGTGAAGTGTTTCACAGAAACATACAGGTGTCAATGAAGTTTTCAATGAGCACTTTTTCAAGGTGCTCTAGTCACGTTGACCAGAGTAAGAGAAAAAAAAAAACCCCACAATGTTTTCTTCATAAACAGAAGAGTGCTTCAATACAATTCTATTTTGCAAACATGTTTGAAAGCTTTGGCTTTAGTTTCAAATGTAGAACAAAAAATATCAGAACCTCCAAAGTGGTCATGAAACAGAACCATTATCCTCCAGCCAGTGCTGGCAAGCACATTTGTTACAATGCAGAACAAACATGATTTCAAGCATACACATTGCATAAATCAGCATAGGACTAAAGCCCAACTCGGGAGTAAAATGTAGTGCTCTGAGGGCATGTCCACATGTGCAGCCCAGGGCTGCTCTGACTGGGCTCCATGTGTAGCGGGGGGGAGGAAGGGGACGGGACGCAGGAACATTGGCTGGGGCATGAGGGTGCTTCAGCTGATTGTATCTCAGCCAGCTAGTCCACAGCATGTGAAGCCCCATCAGAGCAGCCAGCCCAGGGCTGCTCCAATGAGGCTCTATGTGCTATGGAGTGGCTGGCTGGGGCATGAGGGTGCTTTAGTGCAGGCATGAAGGTGCTTTAGTGTTTTACATGCGTGTTTAAGCACAATAATTTACTGTGCTGTCAGATAATACTTCTGTCTGACGGGACTATCCCACAGCACAGTAAATTAGTCTACACCAGTCTAATTGCCACGCACGTGTAGACAGTGACACTTCACTGCACAGTAAATTAGTCTATTGTGCAGTAAAGTGAACATGTAGACACACCCTGAGAGTCTGAAGATCATCAGAGTTTAGGGCTGTCTTTTATTACTTACTGAGCCAGTACTCCTGCTCAATCCAGTAGAGAAAAAATAATGTATAGCAAAGCATACCACTTGTATCTGCTGGTCTGATACATCGCTTTTCTGAAGCATCCAGAACCATTGGGTGTGTACAGAAACAGTTGTAAGATCCTTCAGTGTTAACACACTGGCCATCAATACAGCTATCTGGGTCTTGACATTCATCAGTATCTTTAAAATGGAAGAAAACACAAGAAAAAAACTCAACCCCAAAGAAGTTCATTGAGTAAATCAGTTCTTGCCCACTCCTAAATTTAGATGTGCCCTTCTTGGATGCCATCTTTTCATTAGTATAAATAAAGAGCTCAAAGCTAAACTCTGCCTGTGCCCATGTCCAACAGGAAAGAAAGAAATCAGGTAACATTTTCACCTTAGTGCACCCATGCAGGAGAGAGGCAAAATGTTGTCCTGTTGTTCTCAAACACTGATCAGAATATTGATAAATGCACTTGATGGTGCTTCAGAGGTCTAGAGTGGATGTGTACAGGCCTAAAATACTTCCTGTAGAGGCCTGCTGCAGCCACGTTAAGCTCCACAGGGTGCCTGCATGCAGCTTTTATGCCATACCAGTAAAGACCACTGAAGAGCACAATGCCCAAAGTTATTCACCAACTTTGCAGGGAAAGGAACCATCTTATTTGGGGAATACAATCCTATGCCTCTTTAGCTTGGCTTAGAGAGGAAAAGCAATAATGTATCCCTAAGGAAAGGGCAGGCTATTTTACTAAAAATAAATGACATTAAATCAGCAAGAAAATATCTGTGTGAAGGACAATCTTAGAAATGCAAGGTGAAAGGCTCTCTTATTGTGGTTTGAAATAATTGCTTCCTTTCATTATGTTATTCTGCATAGTCCTCATGGTTTTCTGCTTATGTAGCAAAACCCAGGGTCATAGTTATGAATATTTTTCAGTCAAATAACCAGAGTGATGGAGTACAATGTTCTTTAGACTAAGAGGAGCACATTTATATTATACCAGTGACCTGAATTGTAATTCCACATTGCATATTAACTTCTTGTGAAAAAAGATGTAGTAAAAAATATTGTTAATTTGATTTATTATAAAAACAGGACCCTTGCTAAAGTAGGTAAAGGCACTGAAGCTGTATTGGGCAGAAAAAGAGGAAGCAGACTCCCATGATCTTGTGTAGCCAGCTGGTATCAGCTGTAGCCTCTGTACCCTTGGGATACAGGTGTTACTTATGAGATGCAGATCTTTGGGTGCAACTTGCTGAAAGGGAGGGAAGAAATCAGCTCCCTGTACCAGCACAGCTGGTCAGCCCTGCAGGAGAAAGGGGAATGCTTGCATCCCTTAGATCAGTGCTCTGGGAGACTAGGAAGCATGCTGTTCTCCAGCCCTTATTGTGAGCTGTGGATAAATGCCTCATTTCAGCCTAGTGTTTTCAGTGTAACTTTTCTTGTTTTGTCCATCTGCATAGTGATAGTGAAACTTAAAGAAACTTACCAAAGCACTGGAGTTTAACAGGGTCGTAGTATGTGCCTTGTTTGCAGTAACACTCGTAACCTGGCTGTGTATTCAAACAGAAACCATTTTTACAGATCTCTTGTCCAAACAGTTGGCATTCATCTGCATCTGTAGATAAAACATTAGGGGATACATTAGTTACTACCACTGCTGTAACATGGAGGTTGGGGGTGGGGAGGATAAAATGGCACAACTCCCCCACTCCCTTTATCTCTGTCCTGTCTGTGACTCTTGGGAGGATGGCAGGATCTAATCATCACTGCAATCCACTAGGCTAGTGATTCGCAACCTTTTTTGTACTAGGACCCATTTGTAAACATCGATTACCAGTTCTGACCCAGTGCCCCTCATTCCTGACTGAATGCCCGTGACCCACAGTGTATGGGACATGGGGGCCCCCAAACAGCCCCTTGCAAGCAGGAACCCTGCCAGCCTGCAAGGGAAAAGTCACGGTTTCCCATGTCTTCCTCCTTCAAAGGAGAAACCTAAACAAGAAGCTTTATTAGTCGGTAGAATTTCAACATTTTTTTATGTTCACCCATTTGGAGCAAGCATAGAGTACATCTGTTCCTATTTACAGTGGCTGGACACTAAGATTTCTATTGCTGAAGTGGAAGTTCTCATGACTCGACTCCAACATACTTTCAGTTTTTTAAAAGTTTGTTGATCCATATTTAAAGTTTGTCTGCGACCCTTTCATACATTCTTGCAACCAACTTTTGGGTTATGACCCATGGGTTGAGAAATGCTGCACTAGGCTGAGGTTGGGGGTGGGGGAGAAGTTATTTTCAGTCTCCAACCCTCTGCTTGTTATCTGGAGTAATTTTCTGAATGTATGTGGGAGAGAGTCTGCTTCATAAAAAAGTGTGAAGTCATTTTCCCCCTTGCTATGGAGACTGAACTACAGTTTAATGCTCTGGACTGCTCTGGTTTTGTACTGTATCTCACCCAGGGAAGATTGTATGAATATCAGGTAGATGCTAAAATTAATATTGCATTAACATAGGTCTCTGTTCTACCACCCAAATTCAATGTGAGAAGTCCTTTGCTCCCCAAAGAATAAGAGACTACTCCACTTGAGCAAGGGTGCCAGAACTATACTTACAGTAGAATTACTTTTTAACAATGTATTTAAAAAGTGCTTAGTTTTATATTGCTAAATGACATTAATGGGAGGCACTAGCTGCAGCAATGTTGTAGACATCTCATCCACTGGAATGCGGAGACAGACAATTCCCGAAGTCACATAAATCACACATAAATGCCTACCAAGCGAGTAAACCCTGAATACTGACACTGGGACAACCATGATGCATCGCTATATGTTTTGACACAAGTTTTGATGCAAGTTAAGGGCAAGAGGAGAAAAGTTAACTAGGACAGCACAAAAGGACAATTATTGGTAAAGAGATTAACTCTACAGGTTAGATGAGAGAAAAGTGGAGACAATGCAGAGGCCAGAGGCAGGCATAACTTTATGCACAGGCTAAAATACAATTTCTTTACAGTCCAGGGTATACAATGAAATCTACAGAACTGCTGCACTTTGCAGCTCCTGTATTTTCACTTCATGTTGACCTGTCCTTAGTTTCAAGCAGAAACAACTAATAGTGATGACTATGTCTTCCAAGTATCAATTGTCCTTTCTTCTACTTGGCTAAACTTCCCTCTCTTTCTGTGATCAATTATCATCTCAATATATGTAAATCTGCTGTCACAGCTTTCTCTTCTCCATATTGAGGCCATAAAGGAAATCCTGGCCCTACTGAAATCAATGGCACAACTCCCAATGATTTCAGCAGAGCTGTGATTACATCCCATATTTTGAATGTCTATGATGTCAGCTTTCAGGAATAGTACTTGCTGGATGGGTCAAACAAACACTATTAACATAGATACCCTGGAACCCAATTCTAGAGCTTGCCCATCACTTGCAGGTGCCCAGCATGTACCCCATTTGTATATGGTTAGGGGTGTATGCTTCACATTTCATTGCCTGCTTCGCTCATCACATTTCCACTATGAGCTATTGTTAGATTCCATCTTTGTACCATCCTGTTACTTTTGTGTGGTACCCCATATAGCTGCTCTTGTATTTTCTGTATGTATTTGCTGACATACACAAACATATACCTTTATACATAAAAAGCCTTTATATATATATGAAACCCTTTCTTTCTTCCTCAGTCATGTTCAGTTTAGAATCCAGATATGATTTTCCTCAGTGCTCACCACCTGTTTGTTTTCTACAACTACACAGAAAACTCTTTAAAGCAAGATCGCCCTCACAAAGACCCATTTTTCCACGGCTACAACTAATAATAAATCATCCCCATAGCCTCTATTGACACTGATGTCATTTAGAGACATTAACAGAGAGACATTTTTCCAAAAGTAGGGACTATGCACTATAAGCCATGTAGCCACAATACACATTATAACAAAACAGATAATGAAGTGCATTCTTAACAGAGGGAATCAACCATATGTAAAATGAAGATGGGTGCTTTTCCACAGAAAAATGTGTATGGAGCTAACTCACATATACCCTTCTATAGTTTTATACACTTTGTTTCAACCCTTTAATACTTTTTGGTATTTTTTCCACCCTTTTTTAAAGTTTATCAAGCACTGTTTAATTTTGAGACCAGGCTGCTATTACAAACGGCAAAGAAAAATGAGAAGGTGCAATACATAGTAGATAATCCTCCTCTCAGTTACACTGTGTTAATCCATTGGCTTCAATAGTTCCTCCAGGTTTACACCAGGAGTAATAAAGAATTTGCCAAGAAGTTTCTTTTCCATCTGCTGAACAATTCTAAAGCTGAATTAGTAAAATGCTTACTTTCGCAGAAGAGCTGAAAGGGCTAGAAAAATATTTTTACAGTCACTTTTCCAGCCACTAAGCATCTTTACACATTACATTTAAATATATATATATTTGATTCTTAAGGACCACTGTAAGGACTGATAATAAAAAAGAAATCACACAGTTGAGCAACTGTCCATCTTTTCATGAGGAACAAATTTGCATCTTGGGGCAAAGTGTGAAAGCTGGCAAATGGGCAGAGGAAGGGTAGCTAGACCTATTTGTCTTTGCAATTCATTACAAACAAACAAAAATATGTTCAGGTTACTCCTGTAAGTAGAACCAGGCAGCTGGCAAGCAAAATAAATATATAATGAGTTAGCAGAAGAGAGAAATACCACATTTTATAATAAAACATCTGACCCTTTACAGGCCCATCTTCTCTGTTTCTGGTACTTTGCAGAAATTTATACAGAGAAAAAACTGTTATCATCTAAGTATAAAATATTTTCACACTTGCATACTTAGGGCAGTCATGGATAATATCAGCTGTGAAGGGGCAATAGAAACAAAAGGAAATCTGTATCTCAGATTCATATTCAGTGCATCAAGTGTCCTAAATTTTGTTGCAAAGAACAAACAAAACTTCCAGATATGGCAAAGACATGAACAACATCATATGCCTACTCAATCCAAAAAGATATAGTCTGAATCTGACTTCCCTTAATTCTGTACAACCTAATGTAGGTCAGTGTAGGTCCTTAAAAACAGAATTATGACTTTTTATGGATTTGTCTACATGCTATCTGTCAATCTATCCAGATACAGACACAGCCTTAATTACCATGGTATCTCTAGGCCTTCCAATCTTTAAACTGTCCTTGCCACATCCCTATGAATTAAGGAAGTATTATTATCCTCAACATATAGATGAAGAAGGAAGGCGCAGGGAAAGACTGAGTGATTTCCTCAAGGTCATATAGGATGTTTTTGTTGAGTAGGGAACTGACTAAAGGCCTACTGAGACACAAAGCACTGCCCTCGCCATTGGACAATCCTTCCTCACTAATTTCTATGAAAAAAATATTGGGCTTTTCTTAAAAACAAACCATAAATCATTCATTCCCACTTGCAGCAATTACTAATGCAGGACAGAACCTCTCCTCCCATCTCTCTTTCTTCCTGACTCCCTGACTTTCTCTCTACTCTCTTGGTTCTGCCAGAATATCTGATGGCACACAGGAGCTGTGCATAGAGACATCAAATCTCCAGAGCACATGCACACGCAGGCACTTTTGGTGGCTCTGTTGAGCTCTGCTCAGCAGCTGTGCTGCTAGAGAACGAACTGCACTCTGGGAAGGTACCAGCTGCTGACTGGACTACAGCAGCCAGGGGAAAGCACACGGAGCGCCAATGTGTGTCTTCAGCTAACTATGGGACAGTGACAACAGCCTTAGTGTACCTGGTGGAGGTGGAATAACTCTGCTGGTAGAAAGGAAGGTTCTGCCATGGCAGAGAAGCTTTGGGTGAGAATGAAGTCAAGGTTTTGCTACAGTTCTGTCAGGAGTAGTTTGTACTGCAGACTAGACTGTAGACCCGCGGTTCCCAAAGGGTGTGCCTGGTACACTAGTATGTCGAAAGAGTGGTGGAAGTGGGCTGCAAAATGTGGGTGGGATGGGACTTTGGCTGCACCAGTCTTGCATGGAAGGACTGGGGCCTGGCTGGGCTGGCCCCACATGGCTGGATGGGGCTCTGGCTGCACCAGCCCCACATGAAAGGATCAGAGCCTGGTGCACTGTGAGCACCATTGAGTTCATGGACCAGATCCTGCCCATGGACTGGTGAGTGAAGTGTGCTGCCAACTTTCATTTGGAAAAAAAGCATGCCCCAGCTATGAAAAATTTGGGAAACACTGCTTTAGGCACTTGTTATTTATAAACTAAAGACTGTTTTATGCTTGTTATCTGTATTAATTGTATAAGCTAATATATTTAGAGTTATGTGTTTTCAAGATCTACTCTCAGGGAATAAGATGAAAATAGGGAAAATACTATTAACTTCATAGCGCACAGTAGGAATGAAATGGAACTTCCGAAGAAACTATATTAGTGGCAAATATTAGTGACAGATTTAACATCAACTAAGCATTTTAAGTAGCATTTTACACCAAGATACTGTTTTTTCTCACCTTGTGAAAACTTTGGTAATATGATGATATTACTAGTTAAGTAAATCTATTATTAGAATTTCTAAAATGTGTAAACTTAACAGAAGTCAGTATATCTAATTGGTACTGACCTTTGTAATTCTGTGCAATGACTCCATAAGATGAATCACTGGAGGGGATGAAACCTCTTCCTTCAGGACACAAATCAGTAAATTCAGCTGGTGGAGAGAGAAACAAAAAACTGTATCAGAAAGCAACAGTTTTTTAGGAATCTAGAAACCAATGCAGATGGCAAAATGTATTTCTCTTTTACAGAAATCTGAGACAACCAACTTATTCCTATTAAGCAACCTTATCTATATTTATGCCAGTGAGTCTCAACCAGGGTGTCATACCCAGGTGCCATGTAATGTTAGCACTGTCAGGTGTGCAAACATGATTCACAAGATAAATCCAGGTATTTTGAATAGGAATCCATAGCGTTAAAACACTTTAGCCTGGTATGGTTTCTATAGGTGATGAAAATTGGCTGTTTTTGAGGTTTAATTGCATAACACTATACACTTGCAAGGTTTTTTTTACGATTTAAATGAATTTTGCTATATTGCAAACTAAACCACATCCATATGTAGTTTAGTTTGCAATGTAGCTACTTGTAATGTTGCAGCCTTTGAGAGCTGCAGCTTTACAAATCATTTTTAATCATTGCAATTAGAAAGTCACAGTTTCACTTTAGGGGACTAAACCCCCGCCACGTACAAGCGGCCTGTGAGTTCTTTGCAACGGAAGAATTGCTCTATTATTTTTCTGAAATAAAAAAAAATAAGTGAAGACTAAGAGATGGCATTTTCTGAGGGGTGTGTGAGTCTAAAAAAGTTTGAGAACCACTGTTTTATATAAATGAAGCAGACTGGAACGTAGCATAAAGGTTCTAGAGCTGGCTCTGAATGTGTAAACTGACATACTAAAAGCAGTTTAGCCATGGCAGGAAACAGCTTTGCTGCACCAGCTAATTTATGCTGCTTATGGCAGCGTAAATTAGCCTGTACCAAACTTTGGGTAGCAACCAGCAGACTACTTCAAAAACTTAAGCTACTCATCTAAATCTGGCTCAGGTATCTCTATATTATGCCATGGTTTGTAATATAGATGCCAACACTACAGCCCAATACTGCAAAATTCTCACTGATTTCAAGGAGAATTCAATACCAACTACAGCATACAGCCTATTAAGGGAATGAATTCCACTGGTGGATACTACATGAAATCAAATGCAAATAAACCCAGTTTACTATTTTCAAGAGTAGAGACACTTCCAAACATACTCTTGTAGGCACAGTTTCACAGATTAAAAGATGTGGCTAATGTAAGACTTGAATAAAAAAAAGTTTGGGTTAAAAAGTACTTTTTTGTGGACTGAAGAGTTTACATATGTTTTATCTTGTGTGATTTTTTCCAGCTGGATTCTGACTATTAGCTATCACTGTTTACACAATGTGCATCAAGTACTGGTTTCAACGTCTGTAACAAACACCATGTGGTTATGCTTTTCTAATTAATTTTTAAATGTGTGCAGTGTGCAGACAGCAAGATTGACTGCATTATGTAGCATATAGCACAATGTCATGTTATATATCAAGACTAATGTTTCACATTGCTGTATAAAGTAAGCTACTATATGACTGATGACAGAAGCAGCCTCACCTTCATTGGTTACTTTGTGGGAAAAATATAGCTGTAACATTACAACAGCCTTTGACAAAAGCTGGGCTAGAAAATCCTGATTATTTAAAATCTTTTGGAGATAATAATTGTCATGGGCATGATGTCAAAAAGCTAATGAAGTTACAACAGAGATTGGTTTTTCACATTGACTTTGCAGCAGTGAAAGTTCTGTATAACAAATTAGCAAGCACTGCAGAATATGGTCTTTTAGGAGTAAACTCATGTAACCTAAGGGCACCCATACCTATCGTTAGGGCCTGGTCTAAATCACGATTCCACATTTTTTGTGAAAAGCAAGAAATTAAGGGATTTAAAAAAAAATGTAATTTGCAACAAAATAACATGATATGCTGCAAGTGGCGGCGGCGGTGGTGGCATAGCAGAGAAGAATAGCCCCTACCTTCCCTCCACCGCCAGGGTCCCCCAAGCCCCACTAGCCTTCCCATGAGGTAAAGACAATGATAGCTGCCTCCCCAGCTCCATCTTTGCCCTGCCCTGCCTGGGACCATGCTTTGTTTGGTGCTGGCGGGGAGCCACTGCCCGGCTGGCCTCTCCACACCCCACAGACGAGGGTGGCAGGAGAAGGCTGGAACCCCTGAGGTGGTGGCAGCTTGAGGAGGTGGGCAGCAGGTAGGGGGCAGCTTGCGGCTTGCTCAATCTGCCCCCTTCCCCCAGGGGGCAGCCAGGGGGGTAGGAGGGGCTCCACACCCTCTCTGCCCCACACTGGGTGTGGAGATAAGGGGGAAGCCCCTGCTGCAGGAGATGGAAGAGGATTCCTCCCTCCCTCCCCTCAGCCCCTGCCCCTGAGCAGCTTTGTGCTG